AATTAGCCGGACGCGGATGCGAGCACCCTCAATCAAACCCAGCCTTTAACTACTACTAGTATCGTAAGGACCCCTAGTGTGACCACACTCAGATCCATCAAGTCACTCTGACCAACTAAAACCAAAAGGCGGCTCAACTACGTAGGACCTCCAGCAATGGTTCTCCCCATGCTCCCAACAACCCTCAAGTTGTGTAAAGCTTTCACCTGCCACTTGGATATCATACCAGCCTCTTCACTTAGACTTTATATGCGAGCCATAGTCGTCCGCAAAGTAAGGACGACCAAAACTCCAGCCCAGCCCGATCTCCGAAACCACACATACTCGCCGCCGTAAAGCGGCCAGCACTAGGTCGCTCCTTTGTTGTCAGGAGCGACCCACCTTGCGCAGATGCTTGAGTTTGCCTGCTTTGTCGTCTGGAGTGATCGTGGAGGTGTGCTGCTTGCGTGATGCGGAGAGATTGCACCAAGAAAAGCTGTATTTGACATTTGGTTGATCGGCACACTGATCAACCCCTGCAGCAGTTTCATAACTAGGATAGTCAAACATTTCAAGATATCGGGCAGGGGGTAATCCAAAACTATTATTGCTGTTCATTGGCAGTGTGTCAGGTGCTGTAGCCAAGACATGTCAAGACTAGTTTAAACTTACAACTCCCCCTGTTTTATGTTGCATTTGGATGCAACTGATTTGCAGCGCCGATCGTATTGTTGGAGGGATTTGCAGCAAGAAAGCAACACAAATGAATAACAAAAACCGACGTATGTGCATCTTGCACGGCGTCGCTAGCTGTTTTTGGGCAGTCCATTGCCAATTTAGACAGGTTGTCGATGCAAAGTCAGATGAACCGTTGATTCATCAAGCTCCAACTTCTGTGGGTCGATTGGCCACTGAAAAGGCCAACGCGAAGTGTTCACCAGTTGTAGTAAGAATGCTCCGTTCATAGCGATGCCAGGAGCCCCTAGTAGCGTCCTTGCTCCTTGTAGTAAGGCCAGGAGCCCCTGGTCGCTTCTTTGTTCCTAGTAGCGTCCTGTGTTCCATCATGTTGTTGAGTTTGTTTTGTTCTGTTTCAAAGGGCACGCTTGGGAAGGAATGAAATGGAACTTGTGTTCCTATCCGGATTCCTATCCCTTTGCAGCCACGCTCCTGGGGTTCATTTTGAGCCCCAACAGTGGAGACCCGATGTACGTGAAGGCAACGATTGAAGAAGACGCCGCGGTGGCTTACGTGGAGGCTTTGAATCAGGCGGCGGCGCCCGGGATGGTTTGGATGTGTCAGAGTTTTCACTTGCTAGGGCATGTAGACATGCAGCTTTTGCGTGAATGGACAATGGACAATTTTGAGGTCAATGGACCTGTGATAGGTCATGGATGTCATAGATATTCAATGCTCAATGCATTGATCAATAGTGTTATATTAATATTGTATATATATATATATTTCCCATGCGGATTCAATTAACAGGTCGACTTCCCATCACAGTGGGTGGCTCAAACCAGTGGGTGTCTCGTTTTTTCGCTGAGAAGACGAGGTTGCCCGGTGATTCAGTGATGGTTCGTAAAAGCAGAACTTGGGGAAGGTTGGACCAACGATGGCCGAGCAGAATGGTCAAATTACGAGAGGATTTCGCATGGAGAGTCTTTTTGCTTTAGTTATGATTATATAATTGTTTTAAATTTAGTTTAGACATGTTTAGTAGCGATGGCCTCCAACTTACTAGCAATGGCCTCCGACCTAGTAGCGATGACCTCCGACCTACTAGCGACGACCTCCAACCTACTAGCCATGGCCTCCTCTAGCGATGCTCTCCAACCTAGCAATGTTTAGAGATGTTTAGACCTTGCTTAGACAAGAAGCTGCTAGGAACAAGTGCATCGCTACTAGTAACAAGTGCCTTACTAGTAGTA